TTCATGATGACCGTGTACTGTTGGAGCCCGTCGCGGCCGAGGAACTCGTGGCGCCGAGATACGTACACCTTGTACTCGGCCACGAGCAATCGAAGCGTGTAGATGGTGATGAGAAACCCGGCAGCGACCGGCGCCCAGAGGCGGTTCGGGTCCAAGCTCACGTTCATGTTGGCCATGGCCAGGCGCGCGACCATGTCCTGCGCGGTCGTCTCGTTGAGCGACTCGCCGTCGGGTCGGATGGCGCTTGCATAAATGGGCATGAGCCCAAACGAGAGCAGGATCGAGGCGCCGGCAATGTTGCGGCCGAGGCGCAGGAAGCGAAGGTAGCAGAGTGCGTCGAGGCCGCAGAACTCCATGATCTCGTCGTCCGTCGCGCGTAGCACGGGCGCGATCCAGCCGCCAAAGCCATAGACCTGCTCGGCCAGCGGGCACGAGGCCTTGGGGTCTGTCGCCCGGCAGTTGAAGTAGACAAGCAGGCGCGGCCGCAGCAGCTCAAAAGCCACGAAGCCAAGCACGAGGAGCGACAAGTAGATCTCGATCGAGAGCAAGATGGCCGCGTCTGGGTCCGTGTCGACGTGGTGGCTAGCCATGGTGGTTCTGCCAAGAAACGTTTGGCATCCGGAGGTTACACACACTCCGGCAGCCAACGTCACGGTGGCCGGATAAACCTCCCTAACTCTATACGTTTCGGTATGGAATAAAAGAGGTGAAACAGAAAACTGGGACGAAGCAGGTTGACGTCGGGCACAATCATCTCCTCCCCGGAACAAGTGGATGGATGGACCGGGAACGTGGCGCTTGCTGCGTCTTGCTGCAAGCAGTATTGCTAGGCGTGTGTGCTGCAATCAGCGCGCCAGTGGTATTGAACCGGCGACCTTTTCAACGCGGGTGTCACTCGATGCGAATCTCACCCAAAGCCCCAATTGCCGTCCAGTGAAAGTGCCAAAATGATGATGATGCTAGAGTCAACGTCGTGGCAGTCATGGTTGAATCCTGCGTCGACTTGCAGGAAGATTGGTACCGACACACAGACAAGCAAGTGCCTTGGCGGCCGTGAGGCGACTTTGAGAAGCCGCCACGGCGGCGCCAACGTCGCTTGTGCGACCTGAGTTGCGTGACCAACGCAGGCGTAATAACCACTGCGCCGGTTTCTAGCTCGTCTGTGGAGATTCGCTTCTTTACAAACACACACGATGGGTTCCACTCGGCACAAAGCGACAGCATATCGGCTACCGCATCGGTTTCTCTGCGGCCGCGCTGCCACGTGTCTTGCTCTTCGTTCGTCCGTTGGCCTTCAAGCGTACTGCAACGTCCCGCCCGGCTATGCCCCAGAAGAATGGCGACAACCTGCATAGCACTATAATCTTTGGCGCTCACCACCACCCTTTATAGCTCGAGAGTTCCTGTGCGTCGACTGACTTGCTTTTTTCCTTGTCCGAGGCGTTCTCACGTCGTGTTCTCGCATCTGACCAAGTAGCCGCGACGTTGTATCCGCGGAAAATTGCTGCAACTTGCGTCCCGTTCGTGGGCTCGAAGTGGCGCTGCATGAAAGCGGTCGTCAGCGCCGCAGTCCAAGGCCCGTCGTCCATCCAATCATCCAGCAAGTGGACGGCTGTCGATTGCGGCGGATGACGCTCTTGCGTCGTTGGCGCCAACTTCGATCCGGCGCTTTGTCGGAGCCTTGGGCGAGGCGCATACTGGGTACCATGCACTTGATACACGATCGACCATGCAAGGCAAGTGCTGCTTCTCATCCCATGGAAGAGCGCTCTTAGCGCGCCTGCATCACGGACAGCCTTCTCGCGCTTCTTCCACCGCCTTCTCGCCACGTGTACTGTTGGCATAGACGCTCCGCATTACACTGTAAGTCGGATCCTCCCAAGCGCCACGAGCGTCGTCGTCGGTCGTGGCTGGCCCATCGACGAGCGGTAAACGCACCAAAATTACACTGTATTGTACACTGTATATCTCGACTCGACTCGATCAGTGGACGGCGATTTCGTATCGGAGGCAGAGGAGGTCGACGTGCTACTGCTGTCGGCG